GTTTTTTTTTCAAAAAGTTCAATATTTTTTAAAAATAGTACAAAGATTTACCTCCAAAATGTTTTAAAAAAAATTTTTTTATGATTTTTCTTGACTGAATTACGCGTCATGAAACTAAACCTGCATAGCTCACAACCAACATTAAAATTCGGTGAAATATCATCGTAAAAAATTAAAGAAGTATTTTGAAGCTTGAAGTTTGTACTTTAACAAGCTTCTGACCGTTTTTAAATTTAATTCTACAGAATTGAGAAGATAAAATTTTTTGTGATGATTTTTTACCAAATTTCACCGTTGGTTATTTAGCAATGAAGGTTTAGTATGCAGGCTTCAATATTGCGTAGTCAAGAAATATCATAAGAAAATTGTTTAAAAAGCATTTTGGAGGTAAATCTTTATACTGTTTTTCAAAAATATTTATTACAAAAACTTTTAAAAAAAAAACTTTTTATCAAATTGCGCACTGTTAAATGTACTTACATAATTTTAAGAAATACAACATTGCGATATGTATTAAGATACAGAAAGACAAATTTTTTTTGAAAAGCGGTCAAAAGCGTGCTAAAGTGTAAGTTTCAAGCTTTAAAATGCTTTTTTATTTTTTTGTCTGCGATGATTTTTTACTGAGTTACGGTGATCTGAATATTATATAATTTTAAGTTATATATCCTTTTAAGTTATATAGAAACTTTTCGACGGCAGTGTAACTTCACTATTACGTGTGGAAATATATACACCTTTAATAGTGAGAGTCAAAATCATTCATTATAATTGTTATAATTGTACTTGAATAATATTCTTTTATAATGTATCATCATATACACACATACTCACTCAAGAAATGGGAACCTTTCAGTAAGAAGACGATTTTTCGCTACGTCAAAATTCAAATTATTAGCCAATAGCCATATGAGCTCTTGCGCCATAGTCGTCCCTAATTTAACAAAGAAATAACACACACAAGTAATAAAATTTCTTTTTTACATCTAAGAAAAGGGTAATTTATCTTTATGGTTATTAAAGTTATCTTAAATAAAATTTAAAACGTTCTCTAATAAAAAATCCGATAGAAATATATAAGAAATAATTAAATTCTTATAAAATTTTATCATTATTTATAAAGTCTATCGTAGGTATTTTTCAAGTTAAATACAACTGCTATCGTTTCGAATCAGTTTTTATAATATCTTTTTTTAATCGTTTTAGATTAATAGAAATTTTTTAATTATCGTATTTATACTCATATTTGTTTATATAGAATTTGTTTATATAGAACAATAAAATATCATTCGGAACTTATTTAATATCTTGACATGAATATCTTCTATCAGATTCAATGTAAGGTACTTGATAGAAATTTTATTAGTTCCGATGAGTAATTCACGTATTCGTTATTTATGTGACATTGATGATAGAAAATCACTCGGAAGTTATTTGATATTTTGTATGAATATCTTCTTCGGATTCAATGTAAAATATATAATAAAAAATTTATTAATTACACGATGTGTAATTAACATATTAGTTTTTTTTAAACGGAATTAAAGATAGGAAATCTATCAAAATTGATTTGATGTTTTACATAATAGTTTTCTATCTCATGTAATATGGGGAACATGATAGCAGATCTATTATCAATTCTAATAAGTAAGGGTTGTAATTGTTATTTATATTGGAATTAAAGATAGAAAATATATCAGAATTTTTATGTAATTTTTAATAACAATTTTCTATCAACTACAATATGATAGGTATGGTAACTATGATTAGTTAATTTTTACAGATTATGCCATATACGGCACATGGTTATGGCCAGTATAAATGATCCCTAAGTTGAATCTCCGCTATGCGTGTAGTTGTACTGCCATCACGAATATCGGTCGCATCCGCGCACATTTTCAAAAATTCACAGTTGATTTTTAATTCAATTCTTGGATCCTTTGAGTGTGAATTTTTACATCCAAAGCTAAATTTTGAAAGTGTTCCACGATTCCACACCATAATTGCCATCCATGATAAAAACATATAAGTACAGGGTGTTTCTAGATTAAACCGCCTTAAAATATGAATTCAGGACCTCAAACAAACAAAAATTTCCTCTGGACGCAAACGTTTCGTTCAAGAGATATTTACTTTTAAAGTTATACAGAACTGTAGAAATAAATAATGTCGAAATAAGGTCTACCCTCTTTATCGCTTTATAGTAATCAAAATTTAATTATTATTAAATGTTTTGCTCAAAACGATTTCCGTCACAAAATCCATATAAATATACCATTCGGCATATTCACTATTAGAATACGTACGAGGTATGATTATAAGTTTATTCTACAAAAGCATTCAACGAACTAATAGCTATGAACTACGAGCTACAACTATGAGCTTTGCAAACAAAAGTCTATCAATAATCTTCGAGCTTCAGACCAAAACAAGAGATATTTCAATTATTCATTTTCCTACAGTTCTGTATTCAGAAGTAAATATCTCTTGAACGAAGCGTTTGCGAGCATACGTCCAGTATGCATGTAATTCCTTTCGACAGAACACTATTGGTAGTCAATTACGAAGATTGAGTTATTGGTAGTCTATCAATAAATTCACCATAAACTTATGATAACTCCGGTACATACGCCGCATCTAACAAGAACTTAATTTATATTAAGTATTATTTACTATGTTTAAGGTAAATTACGTCAGTAAAAATTTTGTGCTGTCTACTATTATGAAAAAAATATTAGAAATGCTTATTTTTCCTATTAAAAAAAATAACTTTTTGAAACCCTTGCATTTTTGCCCAAAGGAGTGGGATATGCGGCTGCTTATAAGGAGAGGGGGAGGAAAGAGATATGTACGACTTATAAAAAATTTACAAATAATGCTTATAAATAACAAATAACACAATAAAGTAATATGTAAAATGATACAATAATTTATAAAATATGTTTACAAAATTTCATTAAGGAATAAAAATGATAAATATTGTATATGAAATAATAGATAATAATTACAATCTCCCTACGTATGTTAAAAGTTTATTACATGAAGTATATATTTCATGTAATGTGTTTATTGCATTTAGCGCATCTGCGCACTTTGTATGCTTTAGGCAAAAAAATCCCATCCGCTAAAAATGCCGTATATTCCAAACAGATGATGGGATTTATAAAACAACAAATTAAATAAAGAATACAAGAGCAAAGTATTTGTATTTTGCTATACAACATGCTTTATTGTTTCTCTACACTTATATATCACGAAATAACCACTGTCTTTTACGCGCTCTACAGTAATTGTTTTATTTAAATTATAATTTATAATGTCGCTATATACTTATTATAGTGACAACGAAATAACCACTGTCTTTTACGCGTTCTACAGTAATTGTTTTATTTAAATTATAATTTATAATGTCGCTATATACTTATTATAGTGACAAATCGATTTAATTCACAATAATTTCATTAATATTAACAGTAAAACCCGAAATTATAACACAATACTAATACAATATAAAGGCATGTAACAGTAGTTGCAAGAAAATTACCTCCACTCCTTCTATTTTTTCTGATTTCTACGGCGTAAATCCCGGCGCGGCGTATATACTGAAGTTACCGTATACGAAGAAAACTATTGAAATATATATTGACCAGTCGAGGGCCGTAAGTGATTTTCCATAAAGAATATTTCAATTTCTGTAATTTTAAAATTATAGGCACCTATAGGTCGGTACATTATAAAAACGTATAGGTTAATTTTACGGTAAAGAATTTCCTATTAGTACCGATAAACCTTTCGATGTATGTAATTCCATATAGATCACTATTGACAGCCTACAGCGAGTTTATCATAATAACTTATACGAGAAGTCGAATAACAGTCGAATGCCAAATCTGACTAGTGTGCGATTATAGCCCAGAGTTATCGTGTTAGGTTAGGTTATCAATAGGTCGTATTATGTAGATTATCCAGGTTCTTTTCTTAGGTCTTAGGTTCAAATTCCGTCGATACCGCATATACGTTTTCAAATACTGTAAACTATATCCGATGCGTAATTTTAATGTGTAATTAATATCATTTTATGTGAAATAACATACGCATTAATTCTAGCCTCGGTGTTCTAATGGCTTAGGACGCTTGTATGGAATACAAGAGATCCAAGTTCAAGTCCCGGCCGGTAATATTTTTCGCAATAAATTTATTAATAGTTTTTTAACATATTAACATCTTTATAATATGATGCTTGATTGTAGCATCAAATTATTAAAATTGCTTGTCAATTTAATTCGCGATTACTAGAGTAGTTTTAATTGCGTTTATAGTCTGGAAAAATAATTCGGCGCGCAGTTCGAAAAGACTACAATATGTTATACATATATATAAAAACATATATTGTATATATTAGTAATTCACGTTTTAATTATTTAAAAAGCAATGAAGATCCAGCTTTAATCGTAATAGGCATTTAAAATTTCCAGTATTGATTGTGTTCTCAAAAATGCGGTCTAAAATAAAGATTCTTAATATTAATTCTACATTGTTAAAAATGAAATTTAATATATTTTTTTAAACAGTGTATGAAAAAAGATATTTTATTGTTTTGAATATAATCTTTGGTTCGTAATTTCACGAAATGCTATATCATACATATTTAAAGAACAATAAGTATAATTCACGAGGCGTTAGGAGAGTTGACGCTAGAACAAAATTGCGCAAGAATACATAATATACAATAATATAAAAATAAATAATTATTTTTGAACGTTTCGGTTCCGTTTTGAGCCATCTTCAGCAAGAAAATATTAAACATTATCGTAAAATATAAAGCTGAATTATAAATCGCAAAGCCATATTTCAAGCGTTTCCATATGCAAATTGTGTAGACCATGCAGTGAGATGTGACCATCTTTAACATTATCAAATATTGTTTCATGGCTGAGTGGTTTATGGCTGACAATGAATGGTTTATGGCTGAGTTTTAACTTACTTTTTATCTTTTTCTAGTTCTAAAAGAAAAAGATGAATAAATTGAACCAAGATTAAAGATAATCTAGTGGTGGGCAATAAACTTCTATACTTTTGTTAATCTTCCACACTTTTGCACACAACTTTGTATATAACTATTAATGTAATAATATTTTTGTATAAGTTTAAGCGTTTGAGGGAATTTAGTCTCAGAGTGCTAAATAAATTTCGATTTCGCACTCTCTCTCTCTCTCTCTCTCTCTCTCTCTCTCTCTCTCTCTGTCTCTCGTGAAATCACAAACCAAAGTCCATATTCAAAACGATAAAATCATTTTCTTTCGTTTTCTATCGGATTTTTTAAATCGGGATTTAATTTCAAAAAATATATACGTCTTGATTTAATTAAAATATATTTAAAAATAAATTTTAAAAAGGTGAAAAACCAATTAGAAGACCTAATTTTGAAGTAAATTAGGATAATAATACATTTGTAAATTTTTATAAAATTCAAGTTAAATTGGTATGAAAAATTAGTACACTTAAAAGATAAAATCAAAAATCTTCACTGTTTTCTCGTATTTTTATTGTTTGAATATATATTATTACACTAAAAATATCCATATAATAGAATTACTGTTGCTTAATTTTTTTTGCATTCATCACCAGTTGATACCATGTCTGCCCCCTCCACTTAACCAAATATTAATGAATAAATTATAATGCGCTATTTATGTAGTCTTAAAATTTGCAAAAAAAATTTTTGCGCTTATTTTATTTAGCTAAAGAAAAAATTTTTTTGTGGGGGCTGAGTAGGCCGTCAGTCAGATCCCCCCCCTCTCCCCGCCCCGCATGTATTAATAACAACCGATTTGGAAAATCAAATAGACAGGATTTATGCGCTCTTTATGCGTTTTCATATTCACATAGTTTCAATTTTTGCTTTGCATCCTTAACACTCATATTCATTCTTAAGTCACTTAAAACTGCAGAATTATGCTATCTAACTATGCAAAATATATCTTCTAAAGGATTGCAGTACAAAAATCGAAATTGCTTGGAAATGATAGCACATAAATCGAAGATATATTTTGTATAGTTAAATAGCGTAATTTTGCAATTTTAAACGACTTAGAGATAAATATGTCTGTTTGCTTCAAGAGGGAAGTGTCTTAAGGGATGCAGCGCAAAAATTGAAACTATGTGAATATGAAAGCGCATAAATAGCGCATAAATCCTGTCTATTTGATTTTCCAAATCGGTTATTAACATGTGGAGGGGCGGGCTAACTGACAGCCTACTCAGTTCTACCACAAAAAAAATTTTGTTTAGGTAAATAAAGCAATGAAATGAGCGTAAAAATTTTTTTTACGGATTTTGAGAGCTCATAAATAGCATTATTATATAATTTATTCATTAAGATTTGGTTAAGTGAGGGGCCAGCTAGGCAGACGTGTTAATACGTACCCGATCTTGGATGTGACAGCAACCATGTGTCATCTGATCTAACTTTGAAATTATAAAAACCTTCACCCTGTTCTATATATCTAAACGGGAAGAAGTATTTTTTTGGACCAACAAGAACGAATCCAGTTCTTTCGCCTTTAAAGAGCTTCAACATTTCCTTTGTCTTTTCTTCTGACAGAAGCTCATAGCTTGGAGGTTGCCGAGCCATCTTTGCTGCTTATGTCTTGTCCACTTGATTGTCGATAAAAAAATGTTTTATTTTATTATTACGTTTTGACTATTATCCACAATTGAAAGAATTAAAAAATATAAACCACTATCATTAGAGTTATATACGTATCAAGCTTTACAATAAAACTGTTCATGTAATGCTAAACAGATATAATGGTTTACAGTCGCGATTGATGCGAAGAGCCTGGTAACTACCAACTTAACTCGCACGGTTAAATCTCCGAATGACAATTTTGTGAGGATCGACACGAAGAGCCTTTCCCTTTCCACCAACGGTCTCTCCGTTCTTTGTGCTGATTGCGAATTCTTATTATTCCTCGATTAGGCCGACATCAGACTACGTATTAAGCCGGTATTAGAGCACGCATTGAAAATTGAGATTGAAGATTACAAGATTGAAATTTAATTAATAAAAACAAAAGGAACTAAAATTTCTTATTAATCAAGTTTCAATTTTTCAATCTTCAATCTCAATCTTCAATGCGTAGTCTGATTTCAGCCTTACTGCTACTAGTGTTCCTATACGCGTTTCTATTTATTGCTGTTTACAACTACAACGTTAATTATTGAACTGTATTTGCTCATATAAATATATTTACAAGTTAGTTTAAATCTAGGATTTCAGTTACATACGCGAAGAGAGCATTGCGAACTTATTTAAGCGGTTTTGTCCCCATTTTATTGATCTTAAATATATTATTTTCAATTTTAGCAAAGTTAAGGATACCTATAAATTAACAAAGGATATCTTAAAAGTAGATAACTTCTAGGTAACTTTAAGTAATTTTTAGGTAACTTTATTTTTTCTGTTATCTGAGTTCATGCTTGTGTCAAATTATTACATGCAGTGCGCACCAAAGAGAATTCTGCTAATGAAAAACTCTATAATAAATAATTTTGGAAAAAATTGGCCAAACTCTACGTGTGGAATTTCCACATTCAGATTATTTTGAGTGTGAAGCTCTTCAAACATTCCATATATAAGTCGCCGGCTCTATAGTAACTTAGTTTTATAGTCAATGACCCTTTGATTATTAATATAGATTGAAAATATCAACTGAGTGCTCGTTTTAATAATTAATAAAATATTAATTGAGACAGAGATTGCCTAACGGCTTACTAACAAGTTAAAGAACTCAATGGTGAAATTCGTCACGGATCACATTCGTTAAAGAATTTAGGTTAGTCGGTTAACTTTCTTCACTTACCAATACTTTCCAAACTTGCAAATACTTTCTTCTTTCTTCTTGAAAAGTGCGGCCGACGGCGGCATTTGAAATCTTAGTTGTAAGATAAGCATTTAGAGTGTCAAAATACAATTTTTTATTTCACATTTTTTAAGATTTAAGAAAATATATTTCTGATAAACTAAAAATATATATATTTCCAAAATATTATATCAAACTAATATAAAATAGCAATCCGGGAAAAATATTTCATTATAATTATATATAATTATGTATATATAATAATTATATTAAATTATGTAAAACTATATATATAATTATATTAAAAATTAACATATTTTATATGCAATTATATATAATAAATTATATATAAAATATGTATAACATTTTTTCCCGGGAAGACAGAAGGTTTTGAAGAATTTGATAGGAATATTGTGTTAAGTAGAAAAACGCAGGTAGAAATTAATATGTTAAATTACTTTTTTAAGAAAAGGTAAAAAAAAGCCCAGAATACATACGTGCTACTTAAACAAAAACTATTTTACCAAATTAAAAAGTTAAACCTAAGTGATATTATTTTATATAATAAATCCTAAATAATATATATCTTTTGAATTCTCATTAAAGAGTATTTGTATAACAACCTAAGTGTGATAGTAGCTTTAATTATTCTTCAAAGATTATTATATCACAAAATTGCGATACTTTATTCAACTCCCCACATAATATGTAATATTGTAGTAATATTGCAGTAATATTAGAACTTGCAATTCAACTTACGTAAATACTATTGAGATATTACATTGCTATATATCACAACGTAATATTGGATTGTCGGAAAAGTCATGACGTATTTTTGTCATATTTTTTATTCAAATTTATATATATCCTACATTTAATTATATCATTCGATAGAGCAAAGTTTCAGTTTTAAGAATCTGTTTTAATAATTACGTTACGTTATTTTTGAACAGAGTTATGAGCAATTAAAGTCAAAATACTCCTTTTATTTAATCCGCGATAACTTAGTAACAAAAAATTGTAGGAATATTTTTAAAAAATGATTTTGCAGGGAAAGCTGTAAGCTTTTACGATAGATAGTCGAAATTGTTCTCAATTTTTTTTAGGCATGTTACAGACCTTCAAAGTGAGAAAAAATTTTTTTATTTTTATCAGCTAGTATTCTGTGTGTAAAAATTACCAAACTCACATAAAATTAAAAATTTATAGTAAGCTTTTGAAAGTAGAGACTTCACACTTTAAAACGCTTTTTTAAATTTAAATTTTATTTAATTTTAATAAAGATATTGTATATACAATTTTGAGCAAAAAATGCGTTGTAACTTTTTCGACAACCCAATATTGCAATAATTCTGAGATATTGCAATGTGATATATCATTCTATAATATTACTACAATGTCGTCCAAATATTACAGTTAGATATATCGCAATGCAATACCGCATATCGTCCAAATATTTCGGTATGATGCATTGCAATGCAATATTATCGCGATATTATTCAAATATTGCAATATGTTATATCACTCTGAAGCATTACCGCAATATTGTTTAAATCCCAGATAGCAAGCTACGTCATTTTGTCGTCATTTTGACGTCAAACGACGTCAGCTTGCTATCAGGGATATTGCAGTACAACATATCGCAAAGCAGTATTACCGCAATATTGTTCAAATATTGCAATGTGATATATCGCTTTGTAATATTAGGTGTACAACTTTGCTTCCGCCGTTTTTTTTCCGAAATTCGAGGCTTTATTGTAAAAAACTGGTTATATATTTATGATTCAAAGTATTGTCCATCGCTGGCCACTACTTTTTCTCATCTTTCGTGCAGCGTACGAATCCCGCGTCGAAAACACTGGTCATCTTTTGAGGCAATCCACAAATCGATCCAATTTTTTACTTCTTTATAAGACTGGAAGTGCTGATCAGCCAGGCCGTGTGCCATTGATCGAAACAAGTGACAGTCAGAGGGAGCAACGTCTGGAGAATACGGTGGGTGGGGTAGGACTTCACATTTCAACGTTTCCAAGTATGTCTTGATCACTTTCGCAACATGGGATCGAGTATTGTTATGCTGCAAAATCACTTTATCGTGTCTCTCGTTGTATTGCGGCAGTTTGTCTTTCAATGCTCGGCTCAAACACATCAATTGCGTTCGATACCGATCGCCTGTGATTGTTTTAGTCGGTTTTAACAGCTCATAATACACTACGCCGAGCTGGTCCCACCAAATACAGAGCATGACCTTAAAGCCGTGAATATTCGGTTTGGCCGTCGATGTGGAAGCATGACTGGGAACTCCCCATGATTTTCTGCGCTTGGGGTTATCGTAATGAACCCTTTTTTCGTCCCCAGTTACAATGCGATGCAGAAATCCCTTCCGTCTTTGCCTTTCAAGCAACTGTTCACAAACAAACAAACACCGTTCAACATTTCTCGGCTTCAACTCGTACGGCACCCAATTTCCTTGCTTCTGAATCATTCCCATGGCTTTGAGGCGTTTTGAAATGGCTTGTTGAGTCACTCCCAATGATCGTGCCAATTCTTCTCGATTTTGACACGAGTCTTGATCAAGTAATGCCTCCAATTCTGCATCTTCGAAAACCTTCTCTCTTCCACCGCTATGCCGGTCTTCGACGTCAAAATCACCGTTCTTGAAGCGCTGAAACCACTCACGAGTCACGACATGTTCTTTCACTAATAGCGGCCTCACCATAAGTATTTGAGAGCATTCGATAAGCCTCAGCCGCAGATTCCTTCATATTGAAGCAGAAAATTAAAACCTCCCGCAAATGACGAGAATTTGGCTCGTAAACTGACATTTTCAATCGAGAATAACTTTATGATGCAGACACAAATCGACTAATGTTTCTATGGGGTTATGTTGACAGATGCCCAAGTTTATTGTATGACGTCTATGATCTATTTATTTCGACCACCACTTACCGCTAAAGCCATCTATAGGAAAACGGCGGAAGCAAAGTTGTACACTTAATATTATCGCAAAATCATTCAATGATTGTGGTATATTGCACCGTAATATTACAGAAATATCGTTCAATTATTACATTGCAGTTTACCACAATATTATTGCAACAGCGTTGAAAAATTACAATGCATTTTATTGCAGTGCCATTTTTCTAAGATATGAATAATATTACGTTTTGATTTATTACTGAATCAATATTAAGTATTTTTTAAATGTAAAAAAATTAGGAATATAAATTGAACATAACTCACAAGGGATACAAATAAGCTGTATTATGTGCATAGGCGCCGACTTATGAAAAATATTGGGGGGGGGGGGAGAAAAAGGATGCCAAATGACCTTTTTCTCACGGTCTTTTCTTTCCTGGTAATTACATTGCATTTACATACTTTCATTACAGTGTATGTACTACCTGTACGTGCGCGGTCTTCCTATTCCCGTGCGAAGTTAGCGCGCCGATTTTCAGTTCGGTTTATAAATTCATTTGCACAACAGCATTTACAACTAATCATATTGTTTCTTCTGCATGTGTATGTAAAATACTTACAGAATTTAATCTTTGTTGCGTTATAGTACTTCGTATATACGTTAATAATTTCCTTAAGGAAGAAAATGAACGCTCGTCTCTACACGTACTTACAGGAATCGTTAAAAGTATTTTTACAAACTTCACTAACTCTGACAATAAATCCGCTATACATCGTTCCTGCTCGACGTTTCCTTAGGCTGCGTTCCACTTAACGCTCCCAATGCTCACGAGCATCGTTTGTCCTTGTTTAACATTTGATAAACAACAA